AGTATGAAGGGGCAAGAGAGAGGCCTGAAAAGTCTGTGCTGAATTCTGGTTGGCAGAGTCTGCCAGGGATGTAAGGAGCAGATTGGCAGGTGGGTGAGTGCTTCCCACTGAGTTCACTTGTCCACAGTCATCTTCCCTTTTCTCTGGGGTCATCATCATCCACCACCCCCCAGATTGGCTCATACTTTGGCAGTGAGCTCTGCCCATTGGATACGGACAGGGATGGAACAACTGATGTCTTACTTGTGGCTGCCCCCATGTTCCTGGGACCCCAGAACAAGGAGACAGGACGTGTTTACGTGTATCTAGTGGCCCAGGTAAGACTTGCTGGGACCTCCCCAGGACTTGTGTGTAGAGGGTAAAAGGAAGGAAGAAGGGACGGCATATATGTTTAAAGACTTGCTGAAAGATTGGGGTTGCCAAATTAGCATCTTTGATCTCCTCCTTGCCTCAACCAGCAGTCCTTGCTGACGCTCCAAGGAATTCTTCAACCAGAACCGCCCCAGGATGCTCGGTTTGGCTTTGCCATGGGTGCTCTTCCTGATCTGAACCAAGATGGTTTTGCTGATGTAGCTGTGGGGGCACCCCTGGAGGATGGGCACCGGGGAGCACTGTACCTGTATCATGGAACCCAGAGTGGAGTCAGGCCCCATCCTGCCCAGGTCAGAAGTGTCCAGATAAAGGAGGGGCTTGGTGGTGGGACTGGCAGGGAAGGTGTGCTCTTTGCTTATCAAGAGTTCCTTTGGTTTGAGACCCAACTGAGCAAGAGCTTTTATCAGTAGACAAAAAGAGTGAGGCCGGCAGGTGGCATAGTGGTTAGGGGCACTAGGCTCCCACATGGCCGACCATGATTCAAGTCCCAGACCTGGTGGTTTGTTTTTGTGTGTGTGTGTGTGTGTGTGTGTGTCTCCCTCTCTGGTCAAATTGAAATGAATAATGTTAAATAATTCCTTAAAAAGAAAAAAAGAGTGAGGTGGTGGGGTAGGGTACATGTGACTGAATTAGGGTCTCCAAAACACGGCCAGATTTTATTTATTCTCATGCCTGATGTGGAGATTAGCAAGAGCCAGGAGGAAGTCTTGAGAAACCAGGTGTGAGTCCCTGCCTTAGTCTCCCTTCTCTTCCTCTTAGCGAATCGCGGCTATCTCCATGCCGCAGACCCTCAGCTACTTTGGCCGAAGTGTAGATGGCCGCCTAGATCTGGATGGAGATGATCTGGTAGACGTGGCCGTGGGATCCCAGGGGGCAGCCATCTTGCTCAGGTGAGGAGTCCCAGCCCAGTAGCAGTGGACAGCATAGCATAGCTGTTAGGAGCAAGAACCTGGGAGTCACAGACTTGGATTTGGGTCAACTTACTCTGTGTCTCCATTCCTAGTTTACAGAATGGGAATAATAACAGTACCTTCCTCATAGGTTTATTGCAAGGCTTAGATGATGTAATCGTGTAGGGTTTAACCCAGTGCCTAGTACATGGTAAGTGCTTATAGATTGAATCTATTATCTTACTTCTGTCAGAGGGCTCGGGGGCAGGTAACACACATGCTCCCACCCCTCTTTCTTTCTTTTGACCATGGAAGGCAAACACTGGCATCAGCATTTCTTGAAGGACTTACCTCCTACTGCTAACGGTTCTTTCTCACCCCATTTCCAGCTCCCGGCCCATTGTCCGCCTGACCCCATCACTGGATGTGACCCCACCAGCCATCAGTGTGGTTCAGAGGGACTGCAGACGGCGGGGCCAGGAGGCAGTCTGCCTGACTGCAAACCTTTGCTTCCAAGTGACCTCCCGCACACCTGGCCGCTGGGATCGCCGATTCCGTGAGTGACCGGAGTGCGTCCTAGGTACCCTCCACCCTTTGCCTGCCTTGGTTTCTGGACCCAGCCACTCTTACTCTTGCCTTCCCCATTCAGATGTGCAGTTCATGGCCTCACTGGACGAGTGGACAGCTGGGGCACGGGCAGCATTCGATGGCTCTGGTCAGAGGCTGTCCCCTCGGCGGCTCCAGCTCAGTGTGGGAAATGTCACTTGTGAACAGCTGCACTTCCATGTGCTGGTGAGGAGGGGACAAGAACTGTTCGGCATCAGGGCCTAAGAGTGAGGAAAAGGCTGGGTCAGAGGAAAGCCAAAGCTGGGAAAGTGAGGCAGTTTGGAGTCTGGCAGAGCTGGGTTTGAATCCTAGCTCTGCATTTACTCACTGTGAACTCTAGTAGATCACTTAACCTTCAAATCTAAGTGTTTTGGGGTTAGCCAGTGGCATGGTGGTTAAGGCAGCCAGATCCTAAAGGGACAACTGTGCAGCTCAAGTCCTAGAACTAGTAGCCTGAAAAACACACCGGGCACATGTGTGTGCGTGCCCAAAATTCTGAGAGGAGAATAGAGGAGAAAGGATTGTAACATGGCCATCCCTGCTGGGGGGTGCTTTCTCACTTTCTCTGTCTCTCTCCAGCAAATACACATGCCTTACAGCAAACTATAAATAAATAAGTTGTCTTGTCTGCAAGGAGGTGATACTAATAGCTTTATCTTAGAAATTGTATGAGAATTACATTTAATAGTATTGATAAAATCTTGGAGCAGTGCCTAGTATATCAAAAGTGCTTTATAAATGATTACTATAAGGCCAGCAGTTGGTGTAATGGCTATGTTGCTGGACTCCCATGTAGTCGACTGCAGTTAGAGTCCTGGACCCAGTGACTTATACTCATGCCAGGTGCGTGTGCATGCGTGCCCAAGATCCCGAGAGGAGGATGGAGGAGAAGGGATTGCAGCATGGCCATCCCCCGGGGTGTGGGGGTGATTTCTTGCTTTCTGTCTCTCTCTTTCTGGCAAGCACACTTGTCCTATAGCAAAAACCTCTCCCCCCCAAAAAAAGTAATGATTACTACAATGATCATATTCTGCCAGGGCCCTGGGTTGTACCCTAACCCTGGCTGTCCATGACCCTTGACTCTGGTTTCCCTCAGGATACATCAGATTACCTCCGGCCAGTGGCCTTGACAGTGACCTTTGCCTTGGACAACACCACAAAGCCAGGACCTGTGCTGGATGAGGGCTCAGCCACTTCCCTACGAAAGCTGGTCAGCAGTACCAAGCCCTGCCTTGGCTCTGGGTCTCAACACAGCCCTCTCAGTGAATTCAAGAGAAAGGGGTGGGGAAAGAGACATGAAACCATGGTGAAACCTGGCCTGGGCCCCTCTAATCAAAGAATACCCTTTCTTCTCTTTTTATCCCTGTGCTGGTGAGGAGGGGACAAGAACTGTTCGGCATCAGGGCCTAAGAGTGAGGAAAAGGCTGGGTCAGAGGAAAGCCAAAGCTGGGAAAGTGAGGCAGTTTGGAGTCTGGCAGAGCTGGGTTTGAATCCTAGCTCTGCATTTACTCACTGTGAACTCTAGTAGATCACTTAACCTTCAAATCTAAGTGTTTTGGGGTTAGCCAGTGGCATGGTGGTTAAGGCAGCCAGATCCTAAAGGGACAACTGTGCAGCTCAAGTCCTAGAACTAGTAGCCTGAAAAACACACCGGGCACATGTGTGTGCGTGCCCAAAATTCTGAGAGGAGAATAGAGGAGAAAGGATTGTAACATGGCCATCCCTGCTGGGGGGTGCTTTCTCACTTTCTCTGTCTCTCTCCAGCAAATACACATGCCTTACAGCAAACTATAAATAAATAAGTTGTCTTGTCTGCAAGGAGGTGATACTAATAGCTTTATCTTAGAAATTGTATGAGAATTACATTTAATAGTATTGATAAAATCTTGGAGCAGTGCCTAGTATATCAAAAGTGCTTTATAAATGATTACTATAAGGCCAGCAGTTGGTGTAATGGCTATGTTGCTGGACTCCCATGTAGTCGACTGCAGTTAGAGTCCTGGACCCAGTGACTTATACTCATGCCAGGTGCGTGTGCATGCGTGCCCAAGATCCCGAGAGGAGGATGGAGGAGAAGGGATTGCAGCATGGCCATCCCCCGGGGTGTGGGGGTGATTTCTTGCTTTCTGTCTCTCTCTTTCTGGCAAGCACACTTGTCCTATAGCAAAAACCTCTCCCCCCCAAAAAAAGTAATGATTACTACAATGATCATATTCTGCCAGGGCCCTGGGTTGTACCCTAACCCTGGCTGTCCATGACCCTTGACTCTGGTTTCCCTCAGGATACATCAGATTACCTCCGGCCAGTGGCCTTGACAGTGACCTTTGCCTTGGACAACACCACAAAGCCAGGACCTGTGCTGGATGAGGGCTCAGCCACTTCCCTACGAAAGCTGGTCAGCAGTACCAAGCCCTGCCTTGGCTCTGGGTCTCAACACAGCCCTCTCAGTGAATTCAAGAGAAAGGGGTGGGGAAAGAGACATGAAACCATGGTGAAACCTGGCCTGGGCCCCTCTAATCAAAGAATACCCTTTCTTCTCTTTTTATCCCTCCCCCCCATTTCTTTCTCCTTACCTTCCTCTCAGTACTCAGTCCTTTCTCTCTCTTCCAGGTCCCATTCTCCAAAGATTGTGGCTCTGACAATGAATGTGTCACTGACCTCGTACTTCAAGCTAATATGGACATCAGAGGCTCCAGGTTGGATGGACATGAACAGGGCAAGCCTGGGTGACCTAAGGAAGACTAGAAGAGACTTGAAGGGAGCTGGGGTGCTGTTTCCTAGGCTGGAGAAAAGAAGTGAGTCTACTGGTACCCCTTCAACTCCTGGTCTCTCCTTTATCCACCACTCCTAGGAAGGCCCCATTCGTGGTTCGAGGTGGCCGGAGGAAAGTGCTGGTATCAGCAACTCTGGGGAACAGGAAGGAAAATGCCTACAACACTAGCCTGAGCCTCAGCTTCTCTAGAAACCTCCACCTGGCCAGTCTCATTCCTCAGGTGCCCTTGGGGGTGGGGTGGGGAGGGAATTGGGGGAGGAGAAGAAAAAGGGAGAAGGAGATTGGGGGTGTTTATTGGCCTCAGCTGGGAGGTATTCTGGAGAATGCTCGACGTTCAGAGGCTGTGGAGAGGAAAGCAGTAGCAGCCCAGCTTAGCCTCCACCCACGTCCTTTGCCCTCAGAGGGAAAGCACAGTGAAGGTGGAATGCGCAGCCCCTTCCCCTCATGCCCGGCTCTGCAGCGTGGGGCATCCTGTCTTCCAGGCTGGAGCCAAGGTGAGTTGGGACCTAGGATGAGAAAGAGGCTCCAGGAAGAGCTGGGGTCTGCAAGGCCTGTGGGTTCAGGGATGAAAGGGCAGAAAGGCTCCTCTTCTGTAGTTGTTCCATGATGAAGAATCTACTGTAACCTCATGTTCCCTGCTCCCAGGTGACCTTTCTGCTCGAGTTTGAGTTTAGCTGCTCCTCCCTCCTCAGTCAGGTCTTCATGAGGTTGACCGCCACCAGGTGAGAACAAAGGGCGCCTCTTCCCGACTCTCTCCTGTTGGATCTTGGCTTGGCAAGGGTAGTGGCGGGGATAGCACTGACTCCTCTGTTAGCAGGAAGGGGTGTCTTGGAGGGGTTGGGATGTGAGTCTCTCTTCCCTTTTCCCCCTGATCCTACAGCAATAGCCTGGAGAGAAATGAGACCCTTCACGATAACACAGCACAGACCTCAGCCTACATCCAGTATGAGCCTCACCTCCTGTTTTCTAGGTATGGTCCAGTTCCTAGCTGGGACCCGATTCTGACCCCATACTCACACTCTCTCTGTTTCTTGCCTCTCCTTCCATGTGCTTTAGCATTCCCAAAGACTCAAACCCTAGGGCTGGGGCTACTCAGTCTTTTTACCATCTATCCCACTTATACTGAATCTTCTTTTTTAAGAATTATTTTATTTAACTTTATTTATTTTTATTTTAAATTTGATCAGAAAGCACATGTGTTCACCAAGGAGGGGCGGGAGAAAGCACCTCCAGGTTGGGTGTGGTCACATTACAATCTCTTCTTTTCTATTTCTTCATCCTGTTGACATTTTTAGGGATACATGTATGTGTGCCTGGCATGGTCTTCAAGGCACTAGGGCTAGTATTCCAACTATTATCAGCTATGCAGGATCCGGCTCCCTTAACTTCTAGGCCATAGGCCTAGCTCTGAACCGTTTTGTTTGTTTGTTTGTTTGTTTTTTAAATATATTTTAGAGGTTTTTGCCATAGGGCAAGTGTGTTCACTAGAGAGAGAGAGAGACAGAGATAGTGAGAGAAAAAGTGAGAAATCACCCCCCAGGGTGGATGGCCACACTGCAATCCCTTCTCATCCATTCCCCTTCCAGGATCTTGGGCACGCATGCACACATGCCCCATGTGAGTTTCAAGTCACTGGGTCAGGGCTAGAACCACAGTCGGCCATTTGGGAGCCTAATGATGTAGTCACTATGCCATCTGCTGGCCCCCTGAACCTTCTTTTTAAAACATTTTGCTTTCCTGGGCATAGGGCTTTGCTGAGGGGATGTGGGATGTGGCCATTTGTATCAAGTCAGTGTCATGTTCCATTTCTGTCTTCTCATGTACCTCTGCCCTTTACCCACGTGCTGGCCCTGCCTTCTCTGAATCCGTGTCTGTGTGCTGATCATGTGCCGCTGTCTGTGTCATGGCTGTGACGTGCACTTCCTGACTTGGTGTCCACGCAGTGAGTCCACTCTGCACCGCTATGAGGTTCACCCATATGGGACCCTCCCTATGGGTCCTGGACCTGAGTTCAAAATCACTCTTAGGGTGAGAAGCTGGAGGGGTCTTGGCATGAGTGGGGGTAGAGGGAGAGCAACAACCATGCAGCAAAAGAATGGGAAGTCTCTCTTGGATTTCAGTGATATTTATGGTGAAGGGGGACAGATGGGGAAGGAGTGTCTTCATCTCTTCCCACTTTCAATCTTCTCAGGTTCAGAACCTTGGCTGCTATGCAGTCAGTGGCCTCATCATCTCAGCTTTCCTTCCAGCTGTGGCCTACGGGGGCAATTACTTCCTGTCACTGTCTCAAGTCATCACTGACAATGTGAGTCTGGGCTAGGAGTATGTGGAACCTGTCACCTTGGGCTGGTGGTCAGTGGAGCTGGACACCACACCAGCTGCCTAGCTGTTGGGCCACTGCTCTCAGGATACCCTCACCTCTGGGACTTTTCTTTTATATATGTGGCTTCTCTGGGAGGAAAGAAGGGGGTTATACAGGGATGAACTACAGGAGTGTAGGTGATGTGACCCTGCTCAGCCTGGAGTTGCTGGCCTTACCCATCAGGAGGTCTTTCAAGTTGGATCTTCTTCCAGGCCAGTTGTGCAGTGCAGAACCTGACTGACCCCCCAGGGTCCCCTGTACATCCAGAGGAGCTTCAGCACACAAACAGACTGGTATGAGTCACAACACAGAGTCCCAGTACGGTTGGGAGCCTTGGGACAGAAAGGTAGACGTTGGAGTGGGGAAGAGGGCATCTTTCTACTCCAGAGCCCTGATTTCCTTTTCTTCTGTCAGAATGGGAGCAATACTCGGTGTCAGGTCGTGAGATGCCACCTTGGGCAGTTGGCAAAGGGGACTGAGATCTCTGTTGGACTTTTGAGGCTGGTTCATAATGAATTCTTCCGGCGGGTAAACATTTCCTTTTTTATTACTCTCCTGCTCTGCTCCTATCTGAAACTTTAACCTAGGTTTTGGAGGTAAGCAGACCCAAGTTCAAGTTTCAGTTTTACCTCTTATTAGCTATTTACCCATGAGCAACTTACTTCTTTATAAGTCTCTTTTTCCTGGTCTTTAAAATGGGGAAGATAATACTTAAAGGAGTTGTTGTAAAGAACAAATCAATAATGACCTGGATGGGCACCAACAATTGGCATAATAGCTATGTCGCTGAACTCCCATGTAGTCGACAGCAGTTCGAGTCCTGGACCTGGTGGCTTAGACTCACGCCAGCAAGTGTGCATGCGTGCCCAAGATCCCGAGAGGAGAATGGAGGAGAAAGGATTGTGGCATGGCCATCCCGCTCTTGGGGGTTGATTTCTTGCTTTCTGTCTCTCTGTCTCTCTCTTTCTGGCAAATGCACGTGCCTATAGCAAAAAACCTCTCAAAAAAAAAAAAAAATGACCTGATGTACAATGACCACTCCATAAAAACTGGTTATTCTGTGTTTTCCTCCATTTACCCTCCCTTAATCTTTTTAAAAATAATTATTTATTAAATTTTATTTATTCATTCATTTATCTCTAATTTGACAGAGAGAGACACAGAGAGAGAGAGAAAGAGGGGAAGTAAGAAAGCAAGCCACCAGGTCCAGGACTCGAACCATGGTCAGCCATGTGGGAGTGTCCAGCACCTTAACCACCATGCTACCTGCTGGTTCCCACACTCCCTTAATCTTGATCAATCAACAACATGCTAATGCTAATCAATCAACATTTACAGGATACCTACATTTAATCAGTTAATAACCTATCAAGTACCTATTATATAAAAGACCCTGTATTAGGTTGACACTGAGAATGTCCCCAACAGTAAGCACCATGCCTAACTCACCATAGGTGTTTGATACATTTGTGTTAAATGAATAAATTATTGTACATGTAGGATTTGTGCTGAGAGGTTGTCGGAAGTAAGATTGTATGGCTGAGAGATCTATTAGGTTGTCAGGAAAGTCATGACATATTTTTCTTTTTTAAAAAATTATTTTATTTAACTTTATTTATTCACTTATTTATTTCAATTTGACCAGAGAAGGGTAGAGTGTGTATGAGAGAGAGAAAGCAAGCCGCCAGGTCTGGGATTCGAACCGCAATTGGCCGTGTGGGAGTCCAGCACCCTTAACCAAGCCACCTGCTAGCCCCATCGTGACATAGTTTTCTACTGAGTTGTTGGGAAAGTCATGACGTATTTTTGCATAGAAAAACATAAAAATACGTCATGACTTTCCCGACAACCTAATATGTTTTTTACAAATATGCATCATGACTTTCCCAACTACTCAATAGATTCTGAAAGGTCTCTGAAGTTAAGGAGGTGAAATTAAACTTAATATGATAGTCAGTCAGGAGTTGGTGTGAGTTCCTGAGCAAGGAGGGAAGAAACATCTTAATTAGAGCGGTTATTTAGCAATGGAGAGTTAATGGTGTGCTTTCCCATATACCATCTAATTTAAATAGCACAAGATCCTTGAGATGTAAGCATAGCTTTCAGGAACATTAAGTCGGACAAACTACCCTTCTCTAAGTTTGATTCTCTATTCTTCTTTCGTATCATTTTTCATACATTCATCCATTCCTTCAACAACTTTTTACTTACTGAGAAACCACTACATACTTGGCACTGTGCTAGGCACTTGGTACTGGGGACACAAAGGTTAGAAGACAGTCCTTGGGACTGCAGTTAGCATAATGGCTATGTTCCTAAACTCCCACTAGGCTGACTGCAGTTCGAGTCCCAGAACCGGTAGCTTAAACTCACGCCGGGTGCATATGTGTGCGTGCCCAAGATCCCGAGAGGAGAATGGAGAAGGGATTATTGTGTGGCCATCCCCCCGGGGGGTGATTTCTCGCTTCCTGTCTCTCTGCCTCTCCCTGTCTTTCTGGAGAGTGCACATGCCCTATAGCAAAAACCACTCAAAAAAAAAAAAAATTATCATTAGTTGAAACTTGTGGAATCTCATTCTAACCAATTTTAATCAAGGCTATAAGTACCACTCTGTATAGAAACATTTGTTCTACAGATTGATCTTACAACATAAAAGATTAAAAATATTTAAAAATTAAAAAAAAAAAAAAGACAGCCCTTAACCTCAAGGATCTTAAGTTTTGGTGACAAACTACCAGGGTTGGTGGGATGTGGTAGGGGGTTGGAGGGTTATAAGGAAATGTTTCCCTAATTCCCAGAGGGGATGACATCTAAATTTCAACCAAGGAGAGGTGAAGGTGAAGGAGAGTGGAATGTATTTCAGATAAGAGTAAGTAGCATATATGAAGGATCAGAGGATCTCCATTCATTACCCTTCCTTTCTTTCCCCACTGGTCTTCAAATTTTTCTTCTGGTCTTGAGGGCCTCGTGGCCTCAACTTTGTTGTCAGAGCTCCAAAGGACCACACCACCTGATAAAGACTTACTTGAACTGTTTTCCCATCCATTTATTCCACAGGCCAAGTTCAAGTCCCTGACGGTAGTCAGCACCTTCGAGCTAGGAACTGAGGAGGGCAGTGTCCTACAGCTGACAGAAGCCTCCCGCTGGAGTGAGGTAGGGTGGGAGGCTGAGTATGAGAGTTACAAAAATATTGATGATGGGCAGGGCATAAGGGTACCTATGAGGTTTGTCAGAACAAAGGCATCTCCATTAGGCAACTGTCAGTGACTCCGAAGTGATAAATCAGGGTGCTTGGGTTCCACTGCCTCTATTCCTGCCTTGATTTCTTTCCTTTGATTAGAAAGTGGCTATTTCAAGACCAACAGTTGGTATAATGGCTATGTCACTGCACTCCCATGTAGTCAACCGTGGTTTGAGTCCCGAACCTGGTGGCTTAAACTCATGCTGGGCGCATGTGTGTGCGTGCTCAAGATCCTAAGGGAAGAAGGGATTGTGGGGTGGCCATCCCTCCTGGGGGGTGATTTCTCACTTTTCTGTCTCTCTGTCTCCCTCTGTCTTTCTGGCAAGCGCACATGCCCTATAGCAAAAACCTCTCCAAAAAAAAAAAGAAAGAAAGAAAGAAAGAAAGAAAGAAAGAAAGAAAGAAAGAAAGAAAGACTCCCATTTTTTTTTTTCCAACTTTGCTGTAGTATGGAGTGAGGCTAGGTTGGTTAAAGGGAACACGCGGAAAACAACTCTTCTCCCCCTATAGAGCCTCCTGGAGGTGATTCAGGCCCGTCCTATTCTCATCTCCCTGTGGATCCTTATTGGCAGTGTCCTGGGTGGGCTGCTCCTGCTTGCTCTCCTTGTCTTCTGCCTGTGGAAGGTAAGCACCCAGTTAGTGGGGGATAGGACCATGGTGCCCACAAGTTGAAGGATCATGGATTATAGCAGGCAGAAGAGGATTTGTGCTGGGCAGCTGAGCAGGCTGTGAGTGTCATGCCCACATATTTCACTGTACCCCACAGATATTGAGTTAAACGAAGCCAAATAAAATAAATTTGAATCCCATTTTTGGAAGCAGAACAAAAATGAAAATCTCAGTGTTGGCAAGTTCCCCAGTGAGGGCATTTGATGATGACACTTATCTATTCCTCTACAGCTTGGCTTCTTTGCTCGTAAGAAAGTCCCTGAAGAAGAAAAAAGAGACGTTGGAGCAATGAATGTAGAATAAGGTTCTAGAATGTCCTCCCTGGCAGCTTCTTCAAGAGACTCACATACAAGTGGAGGTTTGGGGATTCACATAGGACAAGAAGAAGCCTTTGGACTGTCTCCCTAGACTAACTTGACTTTCGAGTCCTAGGGATGCTGCTGGTGAAAGATGACGCTGTACCTCAGATGACAAGGGCTGGCACCAAAACCAGCAACACTCCCCACTCTGTGCTTCCCTCCTTTTCATGATCTTTGTTCCATAGCCAACATTGGTGACTTTATTTGCCTAGGTCCCTGACTCTTTTCAGATTCCCTCCTTGCCCTTCCTCACAATTTGGAAGGGAGTAAGGGTTATCCTCCTCTGTTCCCCTGCCCTCTCCCTTCCTGCCTGCTCCCTACTCCACAGGAGGGAGCTGACGTTGGCTTGAAAGAAGTAAAGTCAACATCTGCTGCTTTCCTGTGGAGTCTGGTGATTCACGGAGCCGGACTGAGAGAGTCAACAGGAAAAAAGGAGGGAGGAGGAAAAGCCACAAGAGACATTCTGTACAATTCCAAGGAACAGAGAAGCCTTTAGACAGGCAACTGCCATCCCCCCTGAAATCTGAGCCTTGGTGGTGCCCTAACCCGCCCTCAGGTGCTGGTGAAAGAGCTGCCCCCAGGCTTCTTGGGTATGGGCTTCTCAACCCACAGGCTTCTCTGGGAGCAAAGCCAGGGCCTGGTGCCTGATTTCCTAGAGCCAGAGGCCCCCAGGTGGCCAGAGCTGGAACAGCAGAGAAGACTGGTTACCTTAGGCAATGTTTTCTCCATTTCTCTCAAGCCTTACTCACTCTTGAGCCCTCCTTAGGGACTCTTTATAGAAACAGAGAAGACTACTGCTTGATGGTGGGATACCCCTCCACCTTCCAGCCTGAGGAAACAGCAGCCCCATGGGATCTGAATGAGTGGGGTCTGCATTAAGAAGCCAAAGTGGTGGTGTGTTGTCTCTGGGGAACAAGACCTTACTTGCTCAGCACTGGTTTTATAGCACAAATAACTCCTAGGAAAATGTTTCTGGGGCCACCCTAGTCATATTTTGTAGGATTTCTCTAGTGGAATCAGTTTTCCAGTTCTTGCTTGATGCTTACTAGAAATCCCCAAGTTAATTTCTATCTTTGAGTCACATCCCACACTCCTATATTTTGATCATGTCCAGTAAAGGCAACTGGATTCTCAGAGACAGCTGTGTAACTTATATTTCCTTGTAATCAAGACTTTGTATACCAAGTCAGTTACTGGTCTCCAGAGAGCAGCTCTGACAGCCACCTGAAGAACGGCACGGTGCCCATTTAGAGCTGAGAAAAAGAGATACCTAATTGGGCAGTTGACTAGCAGCCACAAAACCTGTCTACCCAGGCTGTTCTTGCGACTTGGCCACAATGCTTATTTTGGCATGTTTTGGCCTTCTGCAGGGGGCCACCCTCATGGGCATTGTCTCTGTCTCCCAGCAGGGTGGACAGTGTATCAGATGGTTAGGACAAATAAAGTTCAGTGTCAAGTGCCAAGTGAACACTGTTTCTGGCTCTGTTTGAGTTCCCTAGGATACAGACTTCTCAGGAATGGTAAGAGGTAGAGTTGTGGTTTGCCTGAGACGTTGTACAGTGGAGTCCCCAGGATGCAAAGATGTAAGTACTTTGAGGCCAGCAGGTGACGTGGTGGTTAAGACGCTGGACTCCCCACATGGCCAACCATGATTTGAGTTCCGAATCTGGTGGCTTACTTTCCCACTTTTCTCTTTGTCTCTCTATGCATCTCTCTCTAGTCAAATTAGAAAATAATAATAATAATTGGGGCCAGCAGCTGGCGTGATTAAGGGTGCTAGACTCCCACATGGCTGACTGCAATTAGAGTCCTGGACCTAGTGGCTTGCTTTCTCACTTTCTCTCTCTTTCTCACTCTGTCTCTCTCTGGTCAAATTAAAATAAATAAATAAATAAAGTTTTAAAAAGAATTAAAAAAAAAATTACAAATAAAATGAAATAAAATCAGGGCCAGCAGGTGGCATGGTATTTAAGGGACTGCACTCCTACATGGCCAAACGCGTTTTGAGTCCCAGACCTGGTGGCTTACTTTTTTTTTTTTTTTTTTGGAGAGATTTTTGCTATAGGGCACGTGCACCAGAAAGACAGAGAGATAAAAAGCGAGAAATCACACCCAGGGGGGATGGCCACGCCACAATCCCTTCTCCTCCATTCTCCTCTCGGGATCTTGGGCACACATGCACACTTGCCTGGCATGAGTTTAAGCCACCGGGTCCCAGACTCAAACCACGGTCAACTACATGGGAGTCCAGTGACATAGCCATTATGGATAGACATCTGGTCCCTGGTGGTTTACTTTTTCACATTCCCTCTCTCTTTATCTCTATCTGGTCAGGTTAAAAAATAGTAAATAAATAAATCTTTTAAATATTAAATAAAATAATTTATTTATTTTTTAAAAAGATGTATTTTAAGTGTTTTCTATGACTCTCACTGGAGATGTGCTCTAGCCTCCTACAGTTCTCACCTACTTAAGTGACTAGAGAGCATAGCATGTGTAGCTTTAGGAAAGGACAGAGGCCTAGGTTGAAATCCCAGGTCTGCCTTTTATTAGCTATGTGGCCTTTAGCAAGTCATACTTTCCCTGAGGTTCAGATAGCAAGAGGAGACTGTGTGCTTAACAGTGAAGACAGGCCAGCCTTGTGGCCTGGAGGTTAAGAGAACTGGATCCCACATAGCAGACCACACAGTTCAATTTTTTTTTTTAACTTTAAAAAAAAAAATTGTAAATAAATAGGGCCCAGCAGGTAGCGTGATGGTTAAGGGCACTGGACTCCCACATGACCGACTGTGGTTCGAATCCTGGGCCTGGTGGCTCATTTTCTCACTCCCCCACCCCTTGCTCTGTCCCTCTCTGATCAAATTAAAATAAATAAATAAAGTTAAATAAAATAATTCTTTAAAAAAAATGGAGCCGGCAGGTGGCATGGTGGTTAAAGGTGCTGGATTCCCACATGGCCAACCACCATTCGAGTCCCAGACCTAGTAGCTTGCTTTCTTGCTTTCCCTTTTTCTCTCTCTGGCTCTCTCTGGTCAAGTTAAAAAATAAAAATAACAAATGGAATTAAATAAATAATTATTTTTTAAATAATTATTTTAATAATTTTTTAAAAATTAAAAAAAGAAAAAAGTGAAGACAGGGAGTTGGCTCTGTAGCTAGTGGTTAAGGAAGCCTGAACACATGTGTCCTACCTTGATTTGAATCCTGGCCCCATAGGTTTGAAAAACATGCTGGGCATGAGTGCATGAATGTATGCACCAAACTCTGATGAATTGGATAAATGGAGGAAAGAGAATTGTGACATGACCACATCCCTCTTTGGAAGGGGTGCTTTCTTTCTCTCCGTCTGTCTGTCTCTGTCTCTCAGACAAGCACACACACATAACACAAAAAGAAAAGAATAAAGACAGATTTGCATTTAAATCTAGGCTATATCACTTAAAACTGACCTTGAATAAATTTAATTTCTCTAAGTCTTGGTTTTCATATCTTTATACCTATTAGGGTATAAGAGTTGTGAGGACTAAATTAGATAATTCAAGTACAGTGAGCATAAAGTACATGCTCAGTAAATGGTAACTTTTTATTTAAAAAATAATTAGTTTAACTTTATTTATTATATTTTTTTAAAAATTTGCTGTAGGGGGGAACCAGCAGTTAGCGTAATGGCTATGTCGCTGGCCTCCCACGTAGTCGACCGCGGTTCGCGTCCCGGACCCAGTGGCTTAAAACTCATGCCGGGCGTGTATGCGTGCGTGTGTGCGTGCCCAAGATCCTGAGAGGAGAATGGAGGAGAAGGAATTGCGGCGTGACCATCCCCCCTGGGGGGTGATTTCTCACTTTCTGTCTCTATGTCTCTCTCTGTCTGGCGAGCACATGCGCCCTATAGCGAAACCCTCTCCAAAAAAAAAAAAATTTAAAAAAAATTTGCTGTAGGGCACGTGTTCTCACCAAAGAGAGAGAAAGAGAGGGAAAATGAGAAAGCAAGCCACCAGGTCTGGGTCTTAAACAGAGAATGGTCTAACTCCTTAACTATCATGCCACCTCTTGACCCAATGGTAACTTTAAAAAATTGTCAGAGGGCAGGTGTGTTTGCCAGAGAAAGACAAAGAGAGAGAAGGAGAATAAGCAAACACCCCCCAGAGGAGATAGTCACAGCATAATCCCTTCTCTTCTGCTGCTTCTTCCTTTTGGGAAAAACTACGCTGTGTGCCTGGTGTACTTTCCGAGCTATTGGGTCTGGGATTTGAACCATGCAGTTGGCCATGTGAGATCCAGCTGCCTTAACCACCATGCCATCTGCTGGCCTATAACTTTTTTTCTTTTGCCAAAAGGTGTGTGTACTCACTAGAAAGAGAGAGAAAGCACCCCCCCCCCCATGGGATATGATCAACCCACGATCCTTTTTCCTACATTTTGCCATCCCAGTAGGATCCTAGGAACACATACACACAGGCCTGACCTAGTTTTCAAGCCACAGTGGCTGGAATTCTATCTGCGGCCAGCTGTCTGGGACCCAGTTTGCTATGCATGTGCTATGGAGCTTGTCAGTAACTATTTTTATAAAAATATTTTGTGGGCTGGCAGGTAGCATGGTGGTTAAGGGTACTAGACTCCCACATAGCCACATGGCCAACTGTGGTTCAAGTCCCAGACCTGGTGGCCTTCTTTCTCACTTTCTCTCTCTCCCTCTCTCCCTCGTCAAATTAAAGTAAGTAAGTAAGTAAGTAAGTAAGTAAATAAAGTTCAATAAAATAATTTTTTTTTTAGAGGTTTTTTGGTATAGGGTTCGTGCAGTTGCCAGACAGAGAGAGACAAAGAGACAGAAAGCGAGAAATCACCCCCCCAGGGGAATGGCCACGTCACAATCCCTTCTCCTCCATTCTCTTCTCGGGATCTTGGGCACGCAAGCACTCTTGCCTGGTGTGAGTTTTAAGCCACTGGGTCTGGGACGCAAACTGTGGTCGACTACATGGGAGTCCAGCGACATAGCCATTACGCTAACTGCTGATCCCCAATAAAATAATTCTTAAAAACATTTTTTTTGTTATAGGGAGCCAGCAGGTGACATGGTGAGTAAGGCACTGGATTCCCACATGGCCAACTGTGGTTCAAGTCCTGAACCTAGTGGCTTGCTTTCTCACTTTCTCCCTCTCTCTCTCCCTCTCCCTCTCTCTCTCTCTCTCTGATTATACATTCTCTATAGCAAATTGAAAAATAATAAAATTTTAAAAATATATACATTTTGTTTTAAAATAAGCTACCATACCATGTGTTAAGAAAATTAAGTAGGAAGGTATATTGAAGTACCAGGGATTGTTTCTCTTCTGGTGATCCATCTCTTACACCCTGAAGATCTGTTTCTTCTATGTGCTATTGTGTCCTTCCACTAAATCTTATCCTGTGCCTTATCCCCTTTGAAGTAATCTCTCCAACCCTTTAAGATGATGATCAGCTGATAAACTTAAGGTTCTAATGATAGAAATCAAATCTATTTGATGTCTTTAAATACCCAGGTGTCTTCTAGGCTCCTCTTGAGGGTTCTTCTAGTATCCCTAAAGAACACATCACTAAGCAATGACCTTCTAGAGACTGCCTCTGCCTCTATTGCATAACTGTGAGAATGGTAGCCCATCTGGTCATTAGGCCTATGTCAAGTTGGTGAGGCTTTTTTTTTTTTTTTTTGAGAGTTTTTTTGTTATAGGGCATGCACTCAGCATGAGTTTAAGCCACCGGGTCTGGGACTCGAACTGTGGTCGACTACATGGGAGTCCAGAGACATAGCCATTACACCAACTGCTGGCCCCAAGTTGGTGAGTTGTTTTGTGACACAAAGGTTCACGGTGGCCCTCAGTGTACTTCATATAGCGTGTAATTTGATTAACCTTTATGGCACATACTGTTTTGGGGGCTGATACTGAAGTCATAATTATATTGACTTCCCACACCTCTAACTTCCAGTCAGTCCCCAAATGGAAGTGGATTTCCTTAAGGACTAGTTTATCTATTTTTTTTTTTAAATTTGCCAGAGGGCACATGAGCTTGCAGAAGAGGGGGGTGGGGAGAAGAGAGAGAAAGAAAGTGAGAGGGAGCCCAAGAAGGCACACCCCATGGGGCATGGTCAAGCCATAATCTTTTCTCCTCTAGTTCCCCTTCCTTTTGGGATTTTGAGCAAGCACACAACATATCCTGCATGTTTTACAAACTGCTGGGTCAGGACTCAAACCATGATCACGGGATCCAGCTGCCTTAACTACCATGCCAGAAGCTGGTCCTGTCTATGATTAAAAGAGCACTTTTTATGTATAAAAGAAGTTGAAATAAAGAGAAAAAAAAAGAGCACCTTTTTTATTTTTAATTTTTATAAGGTTTTTGCCATTGGGCACATACCCTTCCTGGAGAGAGACAGAGAGAAGGAAAATGAGAAGTCATCACCCACCCCTCCCAGTGGGGATGGTTACACCACAATCCTTTCTTCTCTAATCTCCTCTTGGGATTTTGGGCGTGCACGCATACACACACACACACACGTGTGTGCACACCCAGGGTGATTTTCAAGCACTTGATGTGATTTTCAACACAGGACTTGAATCAAGGTCAGCCATGTGGGAGTCCAGTGCCTTAACCAGCATGACACCTGCTAGCCTCAAAAGAGAACTTTAAATATTTTTCTCCACCTAGAGATCCCTATCCTATCCATCCTCAGTATCAACCTATTCTTCAATAAACTTGATACTCCTTCCTGGCCTGAGGAAGGAGTGACCTGAGCTAAGCAGAAGTTGGGCCTCTTTTTCGTGGCAACTCAGAGGAGGTCAGCTACTTCAAGATGAAGCTGAATATCTCCTTCCCAGCCACAGGCTGCCAGAAACTCACTGAAGTGGACAACGAATGCAAACTTCGTACTTTTTATGAGAAGCTTATGGCCATAGAAGTTGCTGCTGAGGCTTTGGGTGAAGATTGGAAGGTTATGTAGTCCGAATCAGTGGTGGAAACAACAAACAAGGTTTCCCCATGAAGCAGGTGTTGACCCACGGCCGTGTCTGCCTGCTACTGAGTAAGGGACATTCCCGGTATAGACCAAGGAGAACTGGAGAAAGAAAGCACAAATCTGTTTGGGGTTGCATTGTGGATGCCAATCTGAGTGTTCTCAACTTGGTTATTGTTAAAAAAAGAGAAGAATATTCCAGGACTGACCGCCTGGGGCCTAAGAGAGCCAGCAGAATCTGAAAACTTTGCTCAATCTCTCTAAAGAAGATGATGTTCTCCAATATGTTGTAAGAAAGCCCTTAAATAAAGAAGGGGAGAAACCTAGGACCAAGGCACCTAAGATTCAGCGTCTGTGACTCCACGTGTCCTGCAACACAAACGTCGGCGTATTCCTCTCAAGAGACAACGTACTAAGAAAAATAAGGAAAAGACTGCAGAATATGCTAAACTTTTGGCCAAAAGAATGAAGGAGGCTAAAGAAAAATGCCAAGAACAGACTGCGAAGAGACGCAGGCTGTCCTCTCTGAGAGCTTCTACTAAGTCGGAATCCAGTCAAAAATAAGATTTTTATAAGAGAAAATAAAAGATCAGATCTAAAAAAAAAAAAAAAAAGGAAAAAAGAAAAACTTGATACTCCTTCCTTTGGAGCAGTACCTATTTAAGAAGCAACTGGAGAAGAAAACAGGCTCTTCCCATTCAGTCAAGTGTTTCTTCTCCCAGTTGCTCCTGTGCTTCTTCATTCATTCGCATTCATTCATCAGTCATTTAAGTGCCTTATATGTGCTTGCAATGGGAATAATGTAAAACACAACTCCTACCATCAAAGAGCCCAATCTAGTAAGAGAAACAAGCAGGTAAACAAATAATGCCAACTGCAAAGCGGTGGTTGCTAAGTAACGTATTGTTACCTATTAGGGTTATGTCACACACAAGAGGCACACTTTGTTGGGCTGGGGTGGCCGAGCCATGAGAGAAAACTTTATGGGAACAAAACACTTGGCCTGGGGGCCCACCAAGTGTGAAAAGAAGCATTCCAGAGAAGATTAATTACCAGCTGCAAAAGGAATTGCAGTAGATTAGAACAGTTCAAGCGCTGGGCTCTTTTGTGAAAGTAATGATAAATGAGATTGGGAGAAAAGGAAGAGTTCTGCTCCAGAGAACCTCGTCAACCATGTTAAAAACTTTGGCTTTTACCCTCTAGGTTTTCACATGCATGTTAGCGGGCTTCTTGGGCTGCAAGGAAGAAGGAAAGACGACCAGTCTTCCACGGACCATTGAAGCAAGAATTACTGAGAATCTGAACACAAAAGGTAGAGGAAAATAGAAAAGGCAGTTTTTAATTTTTGTTTTGCAGAAGGGGGAGGCTTTAAACAAAAATTCTCTCCTCCTGCCCCTCTGCTCTTTTCTAACTCAGACACGCATTATGAACTTGAGCCTCAGGTTTCGTGCCCCAGGTTGCTGAGGGCCACGCATTATCCGTGTCCGGCCCTCTGCTTTTAGCAGTACAATCTGCTCTCCTTTCCAAACCGCTCTCTTTAAATCCTCTTTTGTGCTTGAGTTTTGGGCTGATAAATGAGGGGCTGGGAAATGGGGGAGGTATTGGTGGAAGAACCAGAGATAACTAAGTTGACCAAATGGTTCTCGGCATAAAAAACGTCCGTCGTCACTAGTGGTTGTATGCGACAACCGGTAAGTCTACCCCAACGAGCTGGGACCCTCCTACCTTCAGTGGTGGCGCTTGGAGGGGCGGGGCTGAGGCGGGGTTTGGGGCGGAGCCGTAACCTGGGCCGGCGGTGGGACGGAGCCGGGGGAGGAGTTTCGGCCTGGGCCGCGTGGTTTCTTTTCTCATTGAATAAATCGGAGCTGGAGGCGGGTTCAGATTGGGAGGGTGATGTTTGAGATCAAG